ACGATTTTAAGATATCAATAATGTGGCATATATACGCGGCGTTGGTGATATGCCGATTACACTACGATCTTAATTTTTTTTGTCCAGATTCAAGTATTTTATGCTTAGTATGTTAAAAATTTTAGAAATGTTGTCAAAAAAATATATATTAAATGTCATAGTTATATATTCTTAATCCAAAATGTGGCAAATTTTAAGTATGTATTGTGATACGAATAATTCTAGATAGTTACAGAAATCATTCTCTGAATGATTTCTCTGAAATTTGGTAATATCCGGTGGAAAAAGTTGCTTAAAATAACTGGCGTGTTCGAAAAATCAGAATAATGCCCATTTATTAACTTTCTGTTTTGACGAAGTGAATCACTTATAGCTAAAATCGTACTATTTTATTAGAACATCACAAAAGACAATTGAATCCTATACTAAGTAAGTTTATAACCGTCAGACTTGTTGTTCTCCAATGTACCAAATGTAAAAATATATGTTTATTTTTAATCATGAATTGTTGGATATTCTCAATAGGTCCTTTATTTGCAGACTGCCTATCTATTGTTGATTTTCCAATCTAAAAATAAAATCATCCATGAGGCAGGTCAAATGGAAAATTGTAATACGATATTGTATACCAATATTTTGATTGAGATACAATATTGATATATCAATATTGTACACCAAACTGTCATCAAAGCATAAGTATAGAGTTGAAATCACAGATTAAGATTACTCATCTATAAATAAGATTAGTACAGTCGACAACGGTATTCCAATTTAGATTTCAGTCATACTGACGTTACAGTTTTGAGCTGGCCAGATTAGGCATTGCCATTTTGTAAAATGTAAGATAATCTGAGATAGCTATCTGTATCCCGTCCGACAAAAAACAATTACAAAAACATAAAATTATTGGTAGGTAGAATAAAACAACCACGCCCCAAGGTAACTTTAACCGAAAATATGCAATAAAATAATATATATTGTCATAAGTTCAACAAACAGTAGTGTCAATCATTCATCCTTATACGTCTTTGATTTATAAGTATGCACTAGATTAGATACCCTCAGTAGAAACTTATTTAAAACCTGTGGAAATAAGAACATGGAAGAAGCGATTAAACACGTCCTATGACTCGACTTTCTTCAGACAAAGTGGAACGGCTATTCTAAAGAATAGGCAGTACTAGGTTTAGTCAGTTCAAAAAGATTTCTACTTAAAAGAAATTAGATTTTTACTGGAAGAAATAAGAAATAATATTGAAATCAAAATAAGACCTTCAATGGTATCAATACTGCACTGAGGTTGTATTAGTCTCAATAATTCTTGTGTTTGGATGAAATCGGAAATCCAATCTAAGTTTTTATTAATTTAGCATTGATATACTTATTTATTATTGAGAGTTTTAATAGACAGACATAGGTACCATATACCTCAATAGCTTCGAATTCGTTGTTTGTTTCGGTGATATAAATCTCTACCGGCTTGAGACTGAGTTTAAAATAAGCCTCCTTTTATGTAATTATCAAAATAAAAATTGTCCCCAAAACTGACAAAAAATGTCATACCAAAAATAAAATTTCATTTCATGAATTTCAAGGGAATAAACCAATGGATGTACATAAAGATTTTAATATCTAGTTTTTGCAGAGGTTTTATTGAATCGGCGTCATGACAACAAAATATGTAATTTTTGATTGCGATGGAGGCAGTGATGATGCATGGGCCTTATTAATGCTTATAAAGGCACATCAAGAGAAGAGAATTGTATTGCTAGGAGTAACCATTTGTGGTTGTGGTAATACCGATTTGGAGAATGCAGCTAAGAATACATTACGTATATTAAAAGCGAGTGATAGTCTGAATGTGAGCAGTATTGAATCAGTATTTTCATATAACATATTAAAATATAATTAAATATATAATTTTTTTAGATACCTGTATATCTTGGTGCCTCAGACCCACTTTTACCAAAAAGGCAACAGGAAAGTACTTTCAAATTTCATGGAGAAGACGGATTTGGCGATGTGTTAATTGAAGACGACTTGAATATAAAAGATTTCATATCGGAGTCAGATCACGGAGTTTGTAAAATAAATGAACTTTGTAGTGCGGTGAGTTTCTGGTTCTGAATCTATTTTAAGAGATTTCAAAATTAAAGAATTTATAATTAGTTTGTTGTTCTCATATATACCGTATAGAAACCAAAACAAATAACTTTGATATCTACAGGGCCATTAACTAATATTGCGTTATGTTATGCGATGTATCCAAATTTTGTCAATGACGTTAAAGATTTATTTATAATGGGTGGCAACTATCAAGGTAACTTTCTACGCATTTATTAACTTATAAAATTATACGAAATTCCATATATGTTTAAATTTTCAGGAGTGGGCAACTTTACACGTGCTGCTGAGTTTAATTTTTATTGCGATCCAGAAGCAGCGCACATTGTGCTGGAAAAATCAATTTGCCCGGTAACGATATTACCTTGGGAACCTTGTATGAGCGATCGTTTTGCTGTGTATCTTGTAAGGCAGTCATATTTAAAAAGAATGTATGCAGATTTTAATTAAACTTAATTTTAGAACTGGCGTCTAGAGGTCCTAGGACCATTGGCAGAAACCTGCAATGAAGCTATAAAAACTTTAAATAAAGTTGAGCATGCTCAGTACTCTACAGCGGGCTTTGAAGTCTGGAATCCCTGCGATGCCATGTTAACTGCTGTCTATCTTTTTGAAAACCATGTTGTGAGCAAATCAAACAAATGGCACGCTACAGTCGATGTTTTAGGTGGTCATACACGAGGTCAAATGGTTTTGGATCATTTGCATGAAGTCGATAAAAATCCGAAAAATGTGCGCATTATTGAAGACCTCAATGCTGAGTTTTTCAAAACTGTTGCAGAGTGGACTGTGGGACTAAAGACATTGAATATATAATACTGAAACTGTAGATTAAAAGTATTAATAATTTCGAAAATAAAATAAAATTACTCGACAAAATAAACAATTTAAATTTGTTTTAAGGTTAATATATTTTGAAGCTACCAGTCAGTTCATAGAAAAAGTCTATGATTATATTTGTAAATGACGTTGAATTAGATTCGTTATAAATCAAATTCGAATATCAATGAAAAAATAATGAGTATGATTTTGATGTATGTATTTTTTGGATGCTACTAGATTGTTGTACTTCATTCTCTTGATTGTTAACAAAGCAAAATCTATAACAGTATCCATACATATGATATAAATGTGAGATCACAACTCTTGCAATACAGCATTTCTCAACATATCTTTTGACAATACATTTTTAAAAGAAAAGTAGATTGCATAAAGCAATCCGTATGGCGGGTGTCTCATGCCTAAAACATCCATTAAAATAGAAAAAAGAGATTCATGAGTTATATTAAGGTCCCTAAGTCTCTCTGTCTTGTTAAATATAATGGATTTGATTTAAATCGTGATCATGTCCATAATTTCTTGTTTTTCTAATATTTTTAAAGTTGAAACAATGTCATGTTATTTCAAATATCATGTTATTATTATTCGATTATTTTGTTCATTGGCAACATTAAAGTGAACTAATTTTACCAGCTATATAATTATATGTCAATAAGCTTAGGCCGTGTGCGAGTTCGAGTAAATTGAGGTAAAGTAAATTAAAATTTTCTAGGGATTTTTTGCACTGCACTTATGTAAATATTTATTTATTACCTTACTTATTATTTTTGATTAAAAGTTTTCAAATTAATTTATTAAACATCTTATAAAATTTTCACAATTTTAATACCTAATTTTTATCTAATTTACCCTACTCGAAATACCAACATTCGCTGCCATGCCGACATAATTTACTATATCCATCAATTTACCATCAATTAACTCTAACTCGAACAGTCTTAATAGATTATAGTCATTTCTTACATAATAAATGGGCTGAAAACAAAATCAACGCGAGACGAGCGTAAAAGTGAAACCGCAGCTTTACAAAATCGGACTTAAGATTTTCATGATTAATTATATTGGTAGCAGTCTTCATCAATATCATTGTTTCTTATGCAGAATATAATCATACCAAAATGGTTCTATTTTAAGATTTTTTTGTATTGACAGTTGTCACTGATCACTGACAAAATCGCTAGATTAGCACTGTCAATATGATTTGTATATTCAAGATTTCGTATTCAAGATTTGCTCACAATACTTATTTCAGTATCTATTATCTACGTTTTTTATAAATTTATTTTAAACTTTCATATTTACCAAGTTAATTATATTATACTATAATAAATTACATTAATTTATTTATGTATATTAACAAACTCATTTAGCCGCCACTGTAGTCACTTCTCCATAGAATTGTGTGGTAAGCTAATAAAAAAAATTACACTTTATAACACTGAAATCACGCAAACGAATACAAAACAAAGAAAATACTCAGCACAACAAACTTGTTAAATGTCTGTGTTAAAGCAAAAAGCAAGAAAACAGTACACAAAACCAACCACCATCAACAACAATAGCTCAGAACGAATCCAATTGGAGAAGCGTTGGGACGTATGCGTTGGTCCGTCGTGCTCCTCGTATGCCAGTAGCGCTGTTTTTCCAAATAGTCGGAGGCTTAATATTACTTCTTTTTTTATTACATTACATATATTACATAGTTAGTTCGATCGCCGGTGATTTGCATTTACAACAATTAGAAAGTGAATTAACAGTATTAAGACAACAACTGCAACAACAAATCGCTACACAAGACTTAAGAAAATTATCTGCAACAAATATGCAAAGCACAGACGATGCAAAATTTATAAAAAAGTGAGTGTGTGTGTGTGAATACAATTAAGAAAATGAATGAAAATTAATTCAGAATTTTTAAAAATAACGGAAATTTATTACGGTTTTTCATTTAATTTGCAAAAAAAAATGGAAATTTATTTGAAGTGCAAATATTTACTCTAGGAAATGTAACGAAATTGCAAAAAGAATTTTCTTACCTTGTTTTAGCAGCTTTATCGATTTTCCATTTCCCTCGTATTTTCCACGCACAATCACACGCACACGTATGCGCCAACCGCTGATTGTGTGGTGGTTCTAGTTAAGAATTTTCCTTTAATTTTTTATTCTTTTGATTTTGAATTTTCAAGTGTAAAATTCTTTCGTGACTTTGTTATTTGTTTCTGTTATTTTATTTTATTTTATTTTAAATAAATTTAAAATTATTTAAAAAAATATATTATAAATAAATTTTTAAGAAAATGTTTCGTGTTATTTAATATTTAAAAAAAAATTGTGTTTTTCTTTCACTTTGCTGTGACGCGTACCGCTCAGACGTTGGAAAGGCGGTACGATTGAACCACATCCAACGGAAAAAGCTTTGATAGTGAATTATCAATTGGAAGCGACAGTTTTCGGCGATCCAAATAAAAATCCAATGATAGAGGAAAAGAAGGTAAGTAAAGTAGCGGGTGGTGCATATATGATTAAGTAATAAAGAAAAGCAAGAGTAAAAACCCATTTGCCAAGAAATCACAACAACAAAGAAGCAAGAAATTATTTACTATGCGAAAGCAGAATGTCACAGACACAGACAGACAGAAATACAAACAGACCAAAAGTCAGACAGACATTGTTCCTATTAACTTGCATAAACGAGGGAAGCTTAATCAAATAATTTTTTTTTTTTTATCAAACAAGAATTATTTATGTTAGCAGAAGCTTAGCCCTTTTCACACTGCAAAGCATAAGCGCCTACAGCCGTGTTAAGTACACTCAGTGAGGTTTTGCCTGCCACTTTGAAAGTCAATAAAGGCACAAAGAGTTTAAAAATGAATTACAGCATTTGAGGAAATTTGAGGAAAACTCTGTGGAAGACAGTAAAAGCTTCACAAATTTAATTTCAAATGAAATTGAAAACTCTACTGATGAAAATCGAATCCAATTTAAATTCAATTTCGCTTTTAATTATCGCCTTTCCACTGACTCATTCAATGGGTGGCAACCTGATTCAGAGCATAGCTGGTAATTTTGTTGTCTTAGGAGTGCTAAAGTAAGAAAATAAATAAAAATATAAACAAATACATCTACACCATTATGTTTTCTATATCACACCTTTTATTTAATAACACAAATATATCTTACACGTTATAAGAACCCATTGCTCATATCAAGATTTATGAGGACTAACAACTCTAAACGCTACATTGAGTAGATACATATCATTTATCTCTTACTATTATATTTATTATATTAAAAAGCGACAATTGTGCGCTGCAACCTATAATATATACTATTGATTGAAAAATGTTCCGAATGGAGGCATAGAGGGGTTTAGACTATTAAAAAACTCTTTACAATTATTTCTCTGAATTTACTAGATTTTTTTTGTTTTTATGAGAACGAAATGAATGCACTGAACTCTTCCTTTATATTATACGGCACTGTCAAAGCAAACCACTAAAATTGACATCCTGATTTTTATAAAATCTATTGTTGTCAGCATTCTTTAGTCCTATATTTGGAAGGTGATTGCATATAGACTTTATTCTTTATAGATAATAATAATTATCTTTCTTTCAATTGAAAGAACTATCTTTGGAAGGTGATTGTTATAGACAATATTTCATATAGAGAATATCCCAAATAGACAATATCCCATACAGATAATATCCCATATAGACAATATGCTTATCATTATCTTTCTTTTTATTAAAATAACACGAATACGTTTTATTGAGCTATTTATGTTTTTCATTTATTTTAACATATTTTAAATTTATTAATGAATTGTATTTACAATATTCTATCATGCAAGTTTCCACACATTCTTTCGTTTAATTAGCATAGAAATCTTTGTTTACGACCTCACATCAGTGACCTGTAATTCATAGTTAACTTTGGGGTTTTATTAAAATACAAAGATATTTATCTTTGTTTTATTATACACTTTCAATTTTGATTTTAGTCAGAAATAACTGATCACTTAAAATATTTGATATTCATTCAAATTGTTCAACTTATTGTAACGTATATGGTTACCATTATAATTGACATTCTTCCAGTAAATATCATAAATCTATATAAAAAGTTACAATTATGTACACATACATATATAAATATTAGAGAAGGAAACACTTTCAAAATAATATTTTCTAATGAATTTGATATTCATAGTTAGTAATATTACTAATAATAAGAGTAAGTTGAATACAGGACCTCTCTATAGAGCACTGCGTTAATGTTTTTTTTTTCTAAATAGGTAATGACTACCTTCAGCAAACCAAAACATATTATTTGCAAAATGAAGGCCAAAATATATTTTTTGGAGATGTTTCTCATTACCAATGGCTCTACTGAAATTCTAATTAATTAATGACGATGAACAAATATTTTTTAAAGTTTTAGGTTACTGAGTTTTTAGGTTACACTCACAAAATTAAACAAAAAATATTATCCGTTAACAATGATAAAAAAATAACAGTAACTGATATGATTAAAATATTAGACAGCTCAACCTCTTTAAGATGATAGCTGAGGTTAATATGGCCTGCTGGGTAACCCATTAAAACTTTAGCTCTGTTTTTTCTAAAGAAATGGCTTACTAAAGTTAATTGTATAGTAAAGAAATATTGGATATTTGGGTATAGTTGACCTAGTAAAACTGTTATTATTTCTAATGGAATCATGATGACTTACAATAGGTAGCTAAGAAAGTGAGGTAAATCGCACAGTCGTAACATGGCGGGTCTCGGTCGTATGCATCTCCCAACACTTTTAAGTGTTAAGTAAGTTTGTAGTAGCAACGTAGCTACGAACATTTTTTATATGGGACACTCCCTATGTATGAAATAAGTTTATCCATTGGGAAATGTTGAAATATGGTCTTTAAAAAAATTTTTTTTTTTAGTTACACATTATTAATTAATTGAGAAATTAACAAAAAAGTCCTTATTTACACATTGTTATTTAAAAAGTCTTAATTTACCTAATGCCTGCACGATTTTTCCGTGGCATCTAAAAATTGAAGTTCCTGTTTACACTATTACAAGCCTCTTGGATTGCCCCAATCCGCTGCAGGGATACATTCTAGCGTCCTAGTAAAAAAAACAATTATGCCTCTCTCGAGTACTCCCCCTCCTCTGACAATAGTTCCATAAACAGCGTTGCTCTTGTTGTATTTCCTATTTTCATTTATCCTTCAATATTCATTTCAATGCATTTACTTGAAACAATGTCAATTGCTGCTTTTAGCCCGTTTTCATTTTCTGCTTCGAGAGGTCCTTACAAGCTGATGCAAATGAAAGCAAAGTAAAAAGTTTTTCAAGTTGGAGGATCTCGATGTGGTCAACAGTTTTGTTAACAATTTTCTGTGCTTATTTCGCTTTTAGTATTGATTTTTCTCAATTCCACTTTAGTTTGAAAATTCATTTATACATTTATTCTGATTCACCACACGTGCGTGTTTCAACCCTTCGCTCCTTCGTACCTTCCGTAGCTCCTTAGTTGCCTAACAGTAAACATTTTCCTCCAACTACTGCACTCGACTATTGTTTTAAGGCCAAAATTTCCATTTACTTGTAGTTCCTTCCTTCTGCGCTACCGTATTTGGGCTAACCAGTACGATTTAGGCTAAGTGCGCTGTAAATAGAGAGAATTTGAAGCGATTTACAGAAAATGGCTACTAACAATTTCGTCATCATAGCAACTGACATGTGGACAAACTGACAAACGTGTATACGCTGAGGAAATTTGGCTCAAACAATCATTTTGTGTTGCTTAATGTTGCACTCCGATTTGGCCAAGACTGCTTTTTGCTGCGGATTATGTGAATCGCTCAGATACTCGCTGGCATGGAATGGAATTATGCAGTTAATAGCTTTTTGCGCTTTTCAATTTTCATTGCTAATTAAAGACTTTTGAGTTATCTCATTGTTTATGTATTAATATATACATATATATTTATGTATTATTTAATAATATTTAATAAGTTAACACACATTCGTTGGAGCAATAAAATTATTATTTTGTTGCATTTATTAAAAAATTTGTGATGCATAGCAAATTTACTATTTTTGGCCGGGGGCCTCGTTACGTTAGCCACCTGTCCAAGACGTCTTGCCATATTCGGATTGGCTTTGTGTTATGAGGCATCATAGATGTGCGAATGTTATGATTCATGACTCATGATTCGGGTCAGTTTATTGGCTTTCCTAACGTTTATTTTTGTTTTTTTTTTGTTCATTTGGACTGCGCAGTTATACTTTTGCCGTTTTGTTTTTATTTCGACATGGCGATTATAATTCTTAACAGTTGCTTTGATAAAATGTATTACTTAAACAAAACAAGACAAATACTATAATAAAAAACAAGTTGATTAAAAAGTAAAAACAATGAAAATTTAGGAAGTGAGTCAAAGCACCTTCGTATGCATTTATACTAGGGTTCTGTGACCTTTAAATTTAAAATATACTTGAGACACAATACTACCGTTGCAATAAGAGTGTATAAATAACTGAAGGAATAACTAGAAATCCGATGGAAAATGAAAAATTTATTTATTATAATAGTATGAGCTATATACCTATATATTACCAGATATATTGTACAGTCCAACAATCAGGTCAAAATATGACAACTGCCGTGGGTTTGATTTTAGCTAAGTCCTCGAAATTAAAATACTAGACCCGAGATTAAACCTACTATAGTACTTTTTTGTAGGATTTGCTCATAGTAAAGCCTTTAGAATTTCCTCATAGCAAAGCCTTTAAAATTTACTCGTAACAAAGCCTTTTGGATTTACTTATAGCAAATTCTATGTGATTGACTCATAGCAAATCCTACAGGATTACTAATAGCAAATACTATAGGATTGACTCATAACAAAGTCTATAGAATTGACTAAGCAAATCATATAGGATATACCCATAGGAAAGTTTATAAGACACATGTTTATGTCTCTTTATTTGTTTGTCTGGCTGCAGATAAATTGGTTAAACTGTTTTTGCACAAATTAAAATGATTAATATTTACGACCAATTAAAATAAGTACCAAAACTCAGATTTTATATAGGAACATGCATATACTAAATTTTATATCAATATAAAAGCATTTTGCTATGGTAAAAAAGAGAGTCAAATATTTAACTAAAGTAGTT